ACATCTGAGCCAGATGTACAGATGAGAAAATTAGCATGTACACTATACCATCTTCTCACAGGGAATTTACTTGAAAATACTATCAAAGAATCACAAACCCAGCATTTTAAATGTAGTATTAAATAAAACACATTTTTGGTGACCTCTATATTTAACACAGGTACAAAATGAGGCTGTGGAAAGAAAAAAAAATCAAATATGGAATTTTGTCTCCAAAATAAAGGGAGCAAACCACACCACACCCATCTCCAAAACAAATATAATACCTGCACTGGTTGAAAGGTCAGCACAATCCTTGCTAATTAAAAAGCATTTCAAAACATAGCAAATGGAGGTATCTGAGGATTCACTGGCACCTTATTAGCTCTCAGGGCTCCAACATACCTTCACAAAAGGCTCTTGGTCAGGTCTGGCACAATACAAAATCTGAATGTCCAAGGGCAATCTTCGAACTCTCATAGTGACGGGATGGTGAGAACTGTCTGGTTGCTCTCTAACCAGCAACAGGGCTTTTTGCCTCCAGACCACTGTTACTTACAGCCACGCTGAGCTACAACTGTTTTTGCAGTATCTAGTTTCCTGCATGATTGAGTTTCTGTTTCCCTTAGGAGGCGTTCAACATTTCTACAGGAACACACCCAAATTAGGATTTAGAGCAAACACACACTTCCTGTCAGGCATAGCTGGGAGGCTGTAAAATGACACTTTCACCTTTGAAATGGTGGTTTCCTATCAGTACAACAAACCCCATTATTTTTTTTTTNTCTCCAGGTGAGAGAATAACAGTCTGAGTTCATTGCTGATGAAATATGATTTGGCTATGTCAAATATTGATCTGGATCAAGAGCTATGCTGTTCAATATGGCAGCTACAGGCCACATGTGGCTAAATTTAAATAAATCAAAATTAAATAAAATAAAAAACTCAGCTCCTCAATCACGCAGGTCACATTTCAAGTGTTCAACACTAGTATGGTAGCTAGATGCTACTACAAAGGTGAGTGCAAACTCTGGAACATTTCCATCGTCATAGAATGTTCTATTGAACAGCATTAATCTAGTAGATAAACAATAGGTCACCAAAGATATTTTATCAGGAAACCCCACTTTTGATGGTTTCACTGACCTCACCAAGGAGCTCCTATCTACAATACCTTTTATTTTGAATTCCTAGAGATTTGAAATTGAAGGGAAGACAGGAAGACCTTAGATTTTGGTGTGAATTGTAAAGCCTAATTTTCTCAGCGAAGACACCTCTGACAGAGGATCACTAAGGTCACAGGCAAGGAGGTGGGAGCAGAGGATGGATGCTCTGAGGTTGGGGCTTCCCCTGAATGAGAAGAAGTGTGTGACCTGATTAGGCAGAAGGAAATCATTAAAGGTACTTTTGATATTTACACAAGAGGTGAGTATAGCTGACAGTAAGTTTCTGTAACTTCCTTTGGCTTCTGACCTCCTTACCTTTCTTTATCTGATCGCATTGGTAAAAATTGGTAAGGCATCCTGAGAACATGAATCTTCATTTCCCTTTCTAAGAGCTTCTCAATGCCTTGCTCAAAAGGCAAGTAGTTGTTTTATTATTCCTGTTTCACATGCTCTGAAACTTGAAGAGGAATTAAGACAAGGGAAATCAAATGAAGGCAATAATATTTCTCACACTAGTTTAAGGTCCCTGTTGGCTCACAGCATGAAAATATAAATCATTTTCAATAGAGTCTGGTGAGACATTTGGTTGCCCCCTCCCACCCAAGTCCTTTGATGTAGACTCATGAATGGAGGAAGTAAGAAGTGATGAAGACTGTTTAAGGTCTTCACCTTTAGAGGCAGGAGACAGGATGCCAAAGAAAACTGATCACAGAAGAAGGTGTCCATTATTGAAATTAGAAAGTAGATCATGAGAGAAATGTTAAAAGGACGAGGTCACTATTCAAAGAAGAGTTAGAAGGATTATGAACATGGAAACTGGCAGATTTTGAGCCAGGAGTTGTCTCTAGTAACAATAACAGGCATTTTCATGAACTGATGAGAGAAGAGGGTGGCCACAGGGAATAAAGAGGTAATTCCCAGGGTGGCAATAAAAATAATAATAAAAATAAAAATGAGTACTGGACCTTACTTAGTTTTGAATATTTCATCATCCTCTCACACAAGTAAAAACTCTAGTATCCAATATACCTATTGAATGAATCTTCAGGAAAGAATATCACACTGAATGCATAAAGTCCTTTATTGAAAATATTGGGCTAGCACTGCATTACATATATTCAATATCCATAAATGAAGGGCCACACATTTCTGATTGGACAATACTGTTTTAAATAGAGAACACAGCATCTGGATATGCTCTCACAAGTACGTATAATATCATGGACTAGGTAAGAGTGAACTATATGCAAAATGACCATTTTGTCAATAGCATATGGTTGCAAATGGCATACATGGTAAACATAATCATCATGACACATTCCTGATATCTCATACCAACACACGACTTAATGAGAAGGTTATGGTTAAACTGCCAGTATGTTGTTTAGCAAGAGTTCTCAGTAGGAGAACTCAGGGGAAAGCGCTCCCAGGCTACAGACTTAAGATTTTATAGCATTCATTTAAACTTACATGGAATGTGAGTGGAGCTAACTATCAATCTGACAGGAGGCCACTTGGCAATTGGTTTGTTCTCTTTCATAAATAGTCTAAAATAAAAGAATAATCTAAAGGAAATATTCAGCCAGCTTAAGGCTAGCATTCTGAGAACTGTTTTATTTTTTTAAATGCAGGTATATAAATACTACTTGTTCTTAATCTCTTCTTTCCAAGATCACTAGGGATGTAATCTGTGACAGACCACTTCTCAGCTTTGGCTATTAATTCAAAATTTTTTTCCACTTGCAGTCTTTGGCTTTCATAAAAGTCTGGCAATCAATAATATTGATTACATTTTTAACAAGATTTTACTATTATATTTAATAAAACAGTATTTTNATCTTGGTGCCTGAGATGGTTAAGCAGAGTGGGTAACCAAGTGGTGGAGAATGGACAAGGTCAGGGTGCTATAGTGGTAAGAACTCAGCTCTTGGGTCTGGCATAACTAAACAGATCCTGGCTCTAACCCTCACATGCTCTGTGACTTCAGGCAAGTTACCTAACATCCTGAAGAATTTGCTTTCTCAACTGTACAAGAGATAATATGTAATTATACTGTCTTGGTTTTGAGGATCAAATAAGATAATGCATATAAAAAAGGAGGGTGAAAGTCAAGATAAATAGATGTTATCTGTCCTCCTCATTCTCCTCTTCGTGACTATTATCATTGTTAATATATCCATCGTTCCTCAGCAAGGCATTGTGACAGGGTTTGGAGATCTAGGCAAAAGTCCATCAACCTTGCTTAGCTCTAGCCTACTTGCTGGAAGATGGTACTTAAGATGAACATCCAGTTCCTGTCCCAAGACCTTTCCTGACGATGTTGTCATGTGTTAACAGGATTAGAAGCCAGTGCAAAGTGAAATTGATCTTGGAGGAAATTATTTCTAAATGTTCTTAAGTATGGGGGTGTAATTTATCAGAATAAGCAAGAGGATGCATTATAGATAAGGTGGAAAATGGTATTAATACATGCATTTTTGGAAGATGTTTAAGTGAAGAGTGAAAATCATGTTGAATAAATTTGACTTGATCTAAAAACTTCTGGTCCACAAGTTTAACAGGAATGATTCATAAATGTGACTACAAAGAAATTCTAATTAAGAACTCCTTGTGTGTGAAAAATGCATATATTTTAAAAATATAAAGCAAGTAAATTACATACATATGACAAAAGACTAATTTTGTGAATACACAAAGAATGCTTATGAATCAATAAAACTATGATTAACTCAGTAAAAAATGGACAAAGGGGTTGGACAGAATATTCAGAAGAAAGATACATACTAGTATATAGCCAACACATGTGGGAAGTTGTTCAACATCACTCGTGATTAGAAAATTAAAATAAGATACCATTTTTGCAAAGATTAAAAAGATTGATAACTTGTATTGGTGAAGGTGTTAGGTCACTAAGTGGCACACTCATACACAGTTGGTAAAAACTATTAATAGCATAACTTTTATGGAAAAATAATTAATAGGATCTTTTGAAATAAAAAATACATACACTCTCTGACTCATTGCTAAAAATTATTTCAGACATACACAATTCATAAAGTCATAAACTTCTCTATACAAAGATGGTCACTAAGAATTGTTTGTAATAGCCAAAAAAAGCCCATTAATGAAGAACTGTTTCAACAATGATAGACCCACACAATTAAGAGTGAGGTAAGTCTGCATACACTGAAACAAAATGTTGTGCGCAGTATATTATTGTTAAATTAAAAAGGCAAAGTGAAGAACAGCATGTATAGTATGCTTCTGTTTATATGAAGAAGATGTGAATAAGTGTAAATGCATAGAAATACTCTACAAGGAAACACAAGCAACTTTTGTGATTATTACCTCTGGAAATATAGGGAGGAAAATGTTTGCCTTTCTTTGACTTCCCTTCTATACTGTTCGAAAGCTTTACCATGAACATGCATTACTTTTATAATAAAAAAAGAAACAAAACGTCAGTTAAAAATATCTAAAGAGCAGATGGGAGCCATTGTAATATGTCTGAAAATAGTTTTCAAAATTAAATAAGTTGTTGTCTTAGAAGATGAACTTTCCTTTGCAACTTTCACTCATTAGTTGATCCCTCTATTTGGAGGACGAATTTCTCCATTATTTTATCTAACACTTAATAGTGCTTACTTTATGCCAGGTACTATTTTAAGTGCTTTAATCATCATACAGTCATGGGGTGATTATTATCCCCAC